ATTTATGTAATAAAATATAGTTATAATTTATTTTTTTATATTTATTCAATACATTTTAAAGATATATTCTATCGCATTCGATCATTTGAAAAAGGTTAATTTTATTTAAAACTAGTGGAACCAAGATAAATATGGCTTGTTTTTATACAAATTTAGATAATGACCCAATCGTATTTTGATATTGTATTTAGAAGAATGATGCAGCGTGAAATAAGAGTATAAACATGTTGTATTGTTTAGCTGGAAATCAATTAAAATCTATATTTTTATCAATTGATTTTCGATACGATTTGAAAACGTCGAACTACTTGCAAATGGTTTCTTGTAAAAAAATATAAGAATAAAATCAATAACTTATCACGTAAAAGCAAAAGAACACATTTGAACCTATCCGGTTGAAAAATAATCGAACGCTCACGCGGCGCGCGGAAAAGTCAGTACGTTTAAGTTCATGTCCGGATGTCTGTTAAGAAAAATGTATAACGACATCAGGCCATACGAATAAAGAAATACACATTACGATGTTGGACGTCAATGTAAATCACTGTCGTTTGGGCATTTTTATTGTGCAAAGAAAACGGGAAACAGTTTAGGGACAGAGTACAACGAAATAAGTGCCGTTGTCGCGACTGCCGGAACTTGTATGTAAAACACAGTGTAACGTCGTTATCCGCCGCCGGTTTATTAATCGTTACAGCCACGAGTCGATGGGAAATCATCGTTGCAGCTTGCGGATGCGGTCGTAATAATCGTCAGGACGACCGGCTTACACGGTCGGGCACTTCTGTACCGTGTTTACGGACGCTCGTACCGGTGTTGTAATTTCGGCCGTTGAATAAGAAACGGAAATGCTAAACAGGGCGTTTAATCGGCTAATACCGCTACGGGCCGTGGTCTAAAGAGTGGCTCGTAATTGAAGTGCAGCGGCGGCGGCGGTCTTCGGTCGGATACGTTACACGAATCGAAACAATAACGATGTACACGTTGTTAGCGCGTTATTCGTTTCGTCATTTCGGGTTTAATGACGACGAATCGACGGCGGGCTGTAACTGCGCCTGTTTACGTTTCAATTGACGCGGTCGACGTTCGCACTCGAGTTCGTAACATCATCGGCAACGTCGTGTAAAATGACGACGTATGCGAAAACGGGCGGGATTCGACGGTTCTGTGTTGGGTTTTATTTGGTTTCGGATACGGATACACGTACGCTGTTGTTCGCCCACGATCAACGTTACGGATTCCCGGCACACCGGCAAAAGCGCACGCGGCGAGGTCGATCGCGCACATCGCGGACGGGCGACTCAAAGTTACGGGAAGGCCGATTTTTAGAAAGTTTAAATCTAGCGGGCCGGAGCGTAGAGGAAAAGAAAAAGGGTCGTTTAAAACATGAATTTTCAATCAGCATTTACATGCTGGGACAGAAACGCACGCGAACGATACGTGGAAACCGATGTCGTTAAATAGTGCGGTTACAAATAGTTATGGTTGAAAGCTATGCGTATACATATGACTTTTAGACATTTAACGATGTTTAAGTACCAGATAACAATTATCGCGTCGATAGGATACAGACGATAAACCTTAACGATACAATTTGAAAATATAGCGCGGGCCGGGATAAAAAAGGTTCGCGGACGTCCTTCGTCGCGCGCAGAAAAACGACGCGTGGGCAGATCGCCGGGTTAGATTACACACCGAAATGGAAGTTGGACGGAACGACTGGTGAACGATTAAAAATTCAACACGTAGTTTGATCGTTTGTCCGCGGGGCGATTCGAACCGCGTCAACGGATCGGCGACGGCTTTCGACGACCATTGTTCGGCGGAAGCGTTTCAATCCGGGCGCACAACAGCGTTACGTTGCACAGCACGCGCGGTAGATTTTTATTTCAATTTCTCTGCCCGACCGCCGCCGAACATAATAGACGGTTTCCGAGGGTGGCATTCTTGCGGTTTCCAACGCCGTTTTATCTTTTCACCCTCGCGCAACAATATCGCTGGTGGGACCGCAGCGACGTCGTTAGTCCTTAAGCGACCGTCGCCCCGGGCGCACAAGTACGCCCGGTTAGCAAAGCGCGCGTAAACATTCCGCGCGCCGTTATGTTTTTATTGTTCGATCGCCGTCGGCCGCGGCCGTATCGTTTGCGACGAAAAGTCCAAAACAGTCGAGTCCTGTCGCGGCGAACAAATAATAATAAAAACTGCCCCGAATAATAAATAACGAACGAAAAGATAATACGCGGAAATTACGTAGCAACAGCTGGCCCCTGATCACGGGTCGGTTGATTCTTAAATATTTTAACGAAAAAATTATAATACAATAACCGTCGTCATAATGTATATATATATATATATATATATATAATATCGTATAATATTTCTCTCCGTTCGTATTCGCAATCAAACCCTAAAACTTTTTAGTTATTGTTATATTCGCATCGTTATAATTATAACTATTGTTATTAATATTTCCCGTAGCTCTCGAACGGTGCGCGCGATAATAAATAGTAATTTTAACGTTGACTTTTCACATTATTATTACGCGTACGACAAAGTTTGAAATTACACTGACACCGAATCGTACACACACGTACATTATGTTGTAGGTCATTACGTCAATTACGGGTCCCGTCGGAGCGGTCTCTCCGGAGGGGCGTTGACTTGGTGACGACTTGCCAACAGTCGTTGCGTCGCTCTTAGTGACTCGACTCTAGCTGGGAAGCATACGTCAATACGAGAATCGGAAAATCCGTTTTTCGGAACATTTTTTTTTCTCGCCCCATTTCCGGCCGGAACGAAATCGCGCGAATTTCGCCTTTTTTCTTTAAAAAAAAAAAAAAGAGTTTTTGCCTTCTGCCGCAGCGCACCCACTTCGATGTTCTCGTCGCGTTCGTCGCGACATCGTAACTGTGTGCAGTGGTTTTTACTTTGGCGGATGGGCCACTGGAATAGAGTCGAAGCGCGTGAAATGTTATTCCCCGAGAAAAAATATCAAATATTAGGTCGAGAAAACAAGTTATGACCGGTACCGTTCTAATGTCTGATAAGCGTACCTAGGGAATAAATTGTTTTCGTTTAGTAGAACGTTTCTAAATTTTCTGCTGACGTGTGAGTAGGCGTTTAGGTCACTCATCGTGCCTATAAACATAAGATTTGACGCCACTGACCGCATGTGTACGAATCGGGCGCACACGATCGCAACGTAACGTTTCAATACGTGGTCGCCAAGTAGAGATCGACTGCGATGATAGTGGCCGGAGGTGAGCATATAACCGAGAATACAACCGAAATGCTAATAAAACGCGAGCTCTACAAGCGGCATCTTACCGCCGAGCCGTGGATGAACGTTCTACTACATTGATTTTGCAACATTGGGAACCATTCGTTGATTCCGTAACCTTATGAATATATCAATAGTAAAAAAAAAAAAAAATCAACAACTGCGCGAAAATCGACTATTCACCTATGATAGCCTATATCTAGCTTTTCCGCGTAGGGGGCGAGACGGGCCGAATGTTCTTTGGAGCGAGTCCCGACGAATAGACTACCGGTATACGTACTCGATTTCGAGATGTATATTATATAACATATGTATATAATAATAATATAATATAATATAATATTATGTATATTTTTATTCGTTTCTTCTATGACCGCTTTTTCGTTTTCTCTTACTGTAACTAGCTCGAGAAATTTTAAATCATCATCATCAGAGCGAAAATCGTAATTAGTTTTATTAAATGAGATCAGAACACGTTGTTAATGTTGTAATAATATGTGTCTAAGCAATCATATATTTTAAAATTTAATGTATAATAAAATAATTATAAGAATTGTTAGCCATTAATGATAAGAATAAGTAACAAATATTGAATAGAATAAAATATAAAGATAAGATATTACACACACACACAACATTAGATATAATGAGGTCATTTTTCAGTTACGGGCTCAGACGCGTTCTTATTGTCTTTTTGTACTACGGGCGGTCAAAGGCGAATGTAAAAGACTACGCAGACCGTCTATGCAGGATGACGAAGTTAGTTGTATATATAACTAAACACATAACCGTTACCGATAACTTTGTGTCAATTTTCAATCATTACGATGTGCTATCAATTGTCTCGCAGTAGATATCTAGTCTTAAAATAATATGACTTCCATTTGTACGTACAAGTCAAACGCTGACGAAAATTAATTTTAACACACGATATTTTTCATCATTGGACTCTTAATGCTATAAAATATTGATCCAGTTCTCTAGGAAAAAATTGTGTAAATAAATATTCTTTTCTTTCGGCGAGAGTAATTTAAAACGTCTGCCGTAGTTCCATTTATCCAGTATTTAATAAGTACAAAAAAACAAAAATTTAGATAAACACGAGTGTTCAACATCCATCGGTCATAGATTGCGTTGAACGATACGTTTGTACGGTGTTCGGTTTTCGTTGTCGTTCAAATATTTGCTGTCGAATAAATTCCTATTATTACACGTTTGAGTTTGAACGCGAAAAATCGAATATACGGTGCGAGTTCGACGTCGTGAAACGTTTTTTTTTTTTTTTTTTT